AACTTCCCCAACAGGTGCAAGCAGTTCTGGTCTCGTTCCAGAACAATGCCTTAGACGAGCTAGCTGCATCTGCCGACCGCATTTTAGAAATTACGAAATCTACTACCGAGGTATTTTCAGTCAAAGAAAAACCTCAAACGACTCAGAATGATATAAACGACTTATGTCACACACTCACGCGTTATCTTAGTCTTCGTAACGACCGTAAGAGATCGCGCACACCACGTAGAAGCATTTCTCGTAAGCGATCTGTCTCTAGACCACGAGAGACAGATAACCCCGACTGGTGCTGGTATCATAACCAGTATGGAAAGTTTTCCAGAAATTGCAGAAAACCCTGCAATTTTCCCAACACGAAACCGACTGATTCGAAAAGCAATTCGGGAAACTTCCAAGCCGGCACGCGTTAACGGCAACCGTAGCCGGCGAACATAGCCGTCTGTTATACGTCACGGATGTGACAACGAGAGTTCGCTACCTCGTCGACACTGGCGCAGAAGTTAGCGTTCTCCCAGCAAATCCTAACGACCGACTACACGAATCGACCCTAAACTTACAGGCGGCAAACGGAAAACCGATCGCTACGTATGGCAAAAGGTACGTTTACCTTAACGTGGGTTTACGCAAACCCATCCACTGGATTTTCGTTGTTGCAGATGTTTCTATGCCAATCATTGGTATGGATCTTCTACAACACCACAATCTGATCATCGACACGCGCAAACGGAGGCTAGTAGACGGTAACACTAATTTGTCCGTTTGCGTAACTTCTTTTACTGGTTGTAGAGTATCCCCAGTCACAGTTAAACATATGATAGACCCACTCTATCAACCACTACTCGATAAGTACCCTGGGATACAACAAACTCAACCGAAACTACCGTGTGTAACCAGCAATGTTACACATCACATCACGACTACAGGACCACCTGTATTCTCTAAAGCACGACGACTAGCTCCGGAAAAGCTAAGGTTAGCGAAAAACGAATTCGATCACATGATGGACTTAGGAATCATACGACCGTCAAGTAGCCCATATGCATCTCCGTTGCACATGGTCCCTAAAAAGGACAGCAACGATTGGCGTCCAACTGGTGACTATCGGCGATTGAACGCGAAAACCATTCCCGATCGTTACCCGTTGCCTCACATTCACGATTTGACAGCTACCTTGAAAGGTACAACTGTCTTTTCGAAAATCGACTTGGTTAAAGCGTATAACCAAATCCCCATGGCTACTGACGACATACCGAAAACGGCTATCATAACTCCCTTCGGACTCTATGAATTTTTGCGAATGCCTTTCGGTCTAAGGAATGCTGCTCAAACATTCCAAAGATTCATAGACGACGTTTTTCGAGGTCTCAACTTCGTACACGCGTATGTTGATGACTGTCTAATCGCAAGTCCGGACAGAGAAACACATCTCAAGCATCTGGATCTTGTTTTCGAACGACTTCAAAAACATGGCATAAGTGTAAACGTTCAGAAATGCCAATTCGGAACCGACTCGTTAGACTTCCTAGGACACACTATCGATGCTCAAGGCATTCGACCTCTTAGGACCAAAGTGGCGGCCATTCTGGATTACCCAGAACCGACCACCGTCAAGCAATTGCGCACGTTTAACGGCCTGGTAAGTTTCTATAGACGTTTCATACCCAAATGCGCATTACTTATGAAACCTCTGACCGACCAACTTCGTGGAAATGCGAAATCCATTAATTTGGACGACACCGCACGAAAAGCATTCTCCACAGTTAAGGAACTGATTGCTAAAGCAACAATGCTTGCACATCAGGACACCCGAGCACCCATTAGCATCGCAGTAGACGCATCCGACTCAGCAATCGGAGGAGTCTTACAACAATGGGTTAACAACTCCTGGCAACCCTTGGCATTTTTCTCTAGAAGGTTGCTAGACGCCGAATCGAGGTACAGCACATTCGGTAGGGAACTCCTAGCTATGTATTGTGCTGTACGGCATTTCCAACACTACATCGAAGGTCGTGAATTCACTCTTTTCACGGACCATAAACCGCTCACTTTCTCGTTAAGCTCTCCTTCTGACAAGTACTCTCCCCGTGAGTCTCGACAACTGGACTACATTTCGCAGTTTACTTCAGATATTCAACACGTCTCTGGAGCAAACAATGTAGTTGCAGACGCTTTATCTCGTATAACTTCCTTGAACAGTTTCCAAGGAATCGACCTTCTTAAACTCGCCGAGCTTCAAAAAGAAGACAGTGATCTTCAGCACGAGTTATCGTCCACAACACTTAAACTACGCATCAAACAGATGGGAACAGGTAAGGAAACCTTACTTTGTGACACATCTACAGGTAGGGATCGCCCAATCGTGCCGAAACATTATCGACGCAATGTCTTCAACACATTGCACAAACTTTCGCATCCAGGTGTTCGTGCAACCATCAAGCTCATAGCAGAAAGGTTTTGCTGGCCTGGAATGAATAAAGACGTGAGGGAGTGGGCACGCTCCTGTGTAAGCTGCCAAAAATCTAAGGTTATAAGACACAATAAATGTCCCTTAGGCTCGTTTAAAACTCCCGATGCTCGTTTCGACCATGTTCATTTGGATTTGGTAGGACCTTTACCAGATTCAAATGGATACTCTTATCTCTTAACCTGCGTTGACCGTTTCACTCGATGGCCAGAAGCAGTACCTATCAAGGACATCACTGCTGAAACAGTGGCCCGCACCTTCGTCGAACGATGGGTAGCAAACTTCGGCTGCCCTTCAACCATCACTACAGACCGCGGACGTCAATTTGAATCTGATCTTTTCCGTCGTCTGACCACTCTTTTAGGAAGCACTCGCTTCCGAACGACCGCCTACCATCCACAAGCAAACGGGTTGGTAGAACGTTTTCACCGACAACTGAAAGCTTCGCTATCAGCTGCAAACGTTTCACAGTGGACCGACGCTCTTCCACTCGTCTTACTAGGTATCCGCAATGCAGTGAAAGCTGACATTGGATACACTTCGTCTCAACTCGTTTATGGTACGACACTTCGACTTCCAGGAGAATTCGTGGATCCTTCATCCTCTTCAATGAACATGGATCTAACCTCCTACACGAACAGGCTTACAAACGCAATGCGTTCAGTTAAACCTGCTTCCACTCGACCTCAATCAACTGATGTTTTCGTTCAACCTGACTTACGACATAGTACACACGTTTTCGTTCGTCGAGACTCGCATCGACGACCATTCGAATCAGCATACGAAGGACCCTTCAAAGTTCTTCAACGTGAACCTAAGTACTATATAGTCGATAAGAACGGAACCAACGATAACATCAGTATCGATCGCTTAAAAGCAGCGTATTTAGAAGGAAATCCTATCTACGTGGATTTTCCTTCGGTACAATCGAACGACACGACTCCGACACTTATAATACCTCACCCGACAACCAACACACACGATGATACTTCGACAGTATCCGAAAATAAACTTAAAACGACGCGTTCTGGAAGAAGAGTGAGATTTCCAGAACATTTAAACGACTATTGCACGTAAGGCACTTCTAGAAATTTTATATTATTTTTTTTAAAAAAAAAACAATTTTAACATGCTTATATATTTTTATTTCTATTTCAAAAAAAAACAAAACAAAAAAAAACAATTTTTTTAACGCTATTACGTGTTCATGAGTTTATTTTCCATTTTTTTTCCGCCGACATTGTGCTTTTACGCACATACGAGTGTATTTCGACATGCACTTACATTTTCTTTTTTCTTTTCCAGGACGGCTGGAAAAGAACGATGACGTTTATGAGGATCCGAAATTTTCATTGTACATTTTCTTTTTTTACTATGTTGTACCTCCGTCCCATATAGTAAGGAAAGACGACCAGACGCTGCTAAATTTAGTAAGCTATCAGAAGAGTGTTTACCAACGACAAACTCGTTGGGTTTAAACTTCTGGCTGGCCACGTCTTAGGGCCGTCACTGCCCCACTAGGGGGGGAGTGATCTGTAGCGGTAAATAAATCCCCAAAATAAATAGCACTAAGTTTTCGACATTGGATGCTGACCATATGTTTTAGTGGACTCATCTAGCTGAAGGCGCTCGGTCAGGCATCTGCACCAGATCACGTGTGGTAACGCCGTGCTCAACATCAACCGCAATCGCTAGCCAGATTAGATCAGAGAATTCCGATATATTGGTCATCGCCAAATATACTCTTCCGATCTCCTCGACTCTGTCTTTTGATTTCTCTGGGCGGGAACGAAATATATTAGAAGGTGTTACTGGTAGAAGCGTTGTCAAACACTGAATACCTGTGACATCATCAATAGATTTGTGTTAAGTCACTCTGGTCGGTGAGTCTGATGCGTTTTCTCATGGTGTGGAGAAGCCACATCAACAGAACTAATAAATAAGGAAGCGTAAGACTTTGTTGGAAACAGCCGTAACAATCTCAACCAGTATATTCAAATCGTCAAACACAAATTCAATCAAACACGCGACTATGATAGCCACAAATCGATCTTATACACTAAGGAAATTAATGACTGTTGCTAATACCCCAGTATCTGTTAACATCAAGGAGAGAGGGGTAAGTGTTGGTAATAGAAATGACAAAAGATCCCAGTACCGTTTGCTTCAAATGCCATCGCGTTATCCACTTAGCTACTGCGATGGGGTGAGGTTTACATCCACTTGGTTTCGTTTGTTTGAATCTTCCCATTGACTTTAAAAGCTGCAACTGATCATTCTCTCATTTGCATATTTACATACTGTGCATATTGCCTCGATATTGCCTTAATTCACAAGCATTACAAGCAAAAATACTTGGTAGCGAGCAGTGGAATCCAGGTACAATCGAGTGATTAAACTAAAATCTACTGAATATTACCAAACACCCGGAGCCGTATCGAAACAACAAAATTCGAGCTCAAAGAAAACAATCGGTTTATACTAGCTCGCAACAAAGATATTAGATTTGAAAGTTTCGTCAAGGAAAACATAAAGCGCCAGTTATGAAAATGGCTCTGACTACTGTTCTTAAGGATATCTTGCCATTGTTGGACATGTCAGTTTATTGTAACTACAAATCAGCTTTAGAAAAAACGATTACCTGTGTATCGCAGTATTGCAAAAGTGGAGCTTGTTCTGGTAAGTAGCGTATTCTGATAATACAAAAAATAGAACATTTGAAAATATTTTTCTTAAATGAGCGTATCAACCAATTATTTGTCCTTGTTATAAAAGACTGTGGCGTTACTAACGATTTATCCTACCCAAAGCTACCCGTACTCCTAACTCCTCCACCATCACCTGGCATTAGCTCGTTGTTATGTTCTCAATGTGGACAGTTTTTAGCACTCATATCTGAAACCTGTGTGTTTGTTGTGGATGCACAGTTCGGCGCAAAAGAATTTTGTCAGGTAATTTTTTTCAAGTTTGAGTACTTTTTCCTGCGTGTAGAATCATTCGTACTTGGTTCCCACTAGTTACATTGTTTTTGAGTAAGGGGGGAACATAAACGGTGGATTTGAAATGAAGCATTATATTCGCCACACAGAAAGTAGTAAAATAGGAAGCTTGCTAAACTGTCTCTTTTGAAGCTTGTTTTCCACTTATATTCCGAACTTCTCTTCATCCCTTCCTTTGTCTGTTCAGATTGATTCTGCCATAGCTATTCAACAACCTATGTTACCGGCTACATTTGGTAGAAATCACGAAACCGAAATATGATAGACGTATTAAGTTGATCACACTCTAATTTAACATCCGAGTTAAAAATCAAGTAGTCTCTTCAGTAGCGAACTATAATACCTAATTGTTATATTCAATGGAAGATAAATGAAACTAAAACTTTCAGTCAAGTAGTTCAACATCATATTACCAACTTACTGAACTTGATTTTCCTCATTAATAGTTGATTAGTTTAGTCGTAAGTGTCTACCTAGATGATGACCTGCAGATTAAGTAATTGTTTTCAATTATTGTCTGGCGCTTTAACTGGGTTGGTGGACATGGAGGGTCCACCTAGGGGAGTTGGAAAACCTCGATTCCAAACCAATGGTGCATATGGGCTCCAGTATCCTCAAAGAACAAATGGCGTATAAACCAATCGTCGGTCGCCGGCTACCATGGGTCTGCATATCCTTACGACGCTCCACTGTCTTTTGGGTCAGACCTTCAGGCCGAAGGCTCCGGGAGTGGCCTACTAAAAAAACCACCTGCTTCTGTTTGGGCACCCGGGAAGTACCACAGCCCTCACGCATATCAAACGAGATTTGTGTGGCGCATATGTATTTGGTGCCTCCTTGTACCAATATCTGTGTGTTAAAATAAAATACTGACTTGTCCGGTCAAATATTTCACAAGATACTGTAATGACGTGGATTATCAGTCGCTTCCGTTGTTTTGTATCATTGCATCTCTCTTAAACTCCGTTCCCTGTAAGCATTTGAGTAATGTCAAGCTTAGGGATGGTGTGGTCTTGTTCTTTTGAATAACATTTCTTATTAACGCCAATGTTTGAGGGTAGATATTCCATTCAGGTCTTGAACGTATGCCTATTGATGCGAATTACGTTAATCGACTTGGGATGACTGGAAACCTCGGTTATCACTATCATAACCAAAGTTAGAAATCTGAGCAATTAAATTTCCATACTAGAACACTGAACAGACCTGCTGTTGCCATTACAAATCAAAAATTTAACTGTATGGCAAATGTTCCTCTTCAAAATAGGATAAGTTCATGTCAATCTTTCTCAAAATGCAGTCAGTCGGTGGTTTAAAGAGCTGTAACTCTTATCACTCTGATACTTATTCCAACTGTTGCAGATGGAGATATAAAATCTATATGTATTTCTGCGTGCTTATATGTACGGCCCATTAGGAATTATATAAGTAGCAAATTTCTACGCTCTGGTTGATGTAAATCACATCACCTTATTAACTTGGGATTGTTTTCTAAACCAATAATATGCAAATTTATACGTAATACATTTTCCGACCAGTTCTTGCTAACTAGTAGCACTTCTCATCGTTTATTTACGAAAACAACTCTCTTTTATCAATCAACACGGTTTATTCATGCTTTGTTGCGGAATTATTTATAGGACTTCATTTTTCACCTTCAAGTCACTAGCTATAATATGACTTAGAAGTTACACTGCTTATTACTTAGTAATTTGTGCTCCGAGCGCGCAAAGCAGTTTTCAGATATAGGTTAGTTTTTTGTTCACGAACTAATATCGTCTGTAGAACAATTAAAAATCAATAAATAACACTAAACTCTAGGAGCCTTCTTCCAGTCACTTGATTTTTCTAATGGAAAGCTCTTTCAACATCTGACAAGTCTGTGTCGTTTATGTGCTCAAGTTCTATAAGATTCCCGAGTAGAATATTTATCTATCATGTCAAACTAAACTTTTACCACGGAAAGCATGTCTATAGCATTTAAAATAGAAGCATCCCACCCTCACTATTTTACTATTTTTCTAGGACCAAATTGTTCGTCCAATATACTGTGCTATTGATCTTAGAGACCTTTCCTCCAAATCAAAATTAAATGACGTTATAGTAAAGGTGCGGTGGCATCCGAAATCTAACAGAACATTGGTTATTGTAACCGAAAATTCCTTTATATATTACATTCATTGTGTAAAGTCCTCAGAAAATCAAAGCATTCGATTCAATTTATGGCTTGAAGCAGATCTTTCAGTATTTACTCATAGCGCTCTTGATGCTACCTACCAGGATATGAATGATTCGGATGAGAGTTCTTGCAATGAAAACGATGATAACAGTTCATCAGTGTCCAATACGAAAATGAATCTCAGTTTTGCTTTAGGCAGCAAGTGTGTCGACTTTGATTTCGGTTCCGCACTATTTATATCAAAACGCGGTTTATCGGAAGCTCAGTTACAAGATTGCTGTTTGTTCCTTCTTTACGAAACAGGTAAGAAGGTTTACTGTTTTGTCGGTTCATATAACGTTTTCCCCACTCATGTTCGTCGTATTCCGACTTTTCAGTTGTTGAAAGTAGGGCTCGATAGTTTTAAATAAATATCACCTTTTGAGTATATATTCGCGACTTGTCCGCTTCTGTTTCAAAAGGCAGTTGGTGTTACTAATTTATGAAAAGCTTGATGCTAAACGTTCACAAACTTATCGGTTTACCAAACATTGGGCGTAAAATTTGATGATACCTTTAGTAGCCATTATGTTTTTAGATTCATCCACCAACCCAACGTAGTGTTTCGGAACAAAACGGGATGTACTATCCTAACTAAACTTTACTTAGATCATTTACGAGCCTTGCTCAGATGTTCAGTACTTTACAAATTATCATGCCAGTCACTTAATCAGTGTCAAAATAAGACCTAGAACAAATATGGATTGGTCCGGGATCACTTTATGCACTTAAGACATTGTCAAAGGAATCCTATTCTATCTAAAGGATCTCGAGTCACTGACTGGTCGAAAGTTGAATGCTACCACCGACTACGAATGCTGAAAAGGTCTTTCTGAAACAACGTATACTTTAGTATCGGTTACTATGTTAAGCCCAAATAACTTATTTTAGCTTCTGGATAGGCCAATTCATCCATTCTTCTTGAGTCACGTTTTGACCCTGTTAATTGTTCACTTATCAACCCTGACTATATTTATATGAGCGTATGTGTGTGTACATCTTATTCTACTTATCATGTCTGTAGCTTACTTTTGTGTGACTACGAAAAATCGATTAACGCTTGATTAAATTGAGTTGGCTCACATGCCTTCTCCAACGCGCATCATTTCGTCTCGCCTCGTTCCTTCAATCACCAGCCTGGATCAATAATTGTACAAAATATACGCATTCGAAATCCTTTTTGGTATTTGACTTATTTTAATTCCGTTATTCATTAACGCGAGTTAATTTGATAGTTATATACGAGGATAGCAAGAATATATATTTTGACAACAATCATTGATCCAGGCTGACAATCAAAGGAACGAAGCGAAACGAAATGATGCGCAGTGGAGAAGGCACGTGAGCCAACTCAATTTAATCAGGCTTTAATCAATATCTGTAGTCACACGAAAATAAGCTACAGACATGTGATGAGTAGGATAAGATGTACACACACATACGTTCATATAAAGATAGTCAAGGTTGATGAGTGAAAAGCGGATAGGTGGTCAGTGTATGACATGGTGTCATGGTATGAAAGAAAGCTGTACAGGACCCGCTTCTGTTGGTTCATCATGACTCCCTGGTTAGAGTCCAGGAGATGATGCAACACAGTGTCTTGAGACGTTATCAGACATGGCTCATGGTAGAAGCCAGTGGCGATCCTGTTATAACTTTATTTTACTTCATAAAAAATGAACGTAACATTTTTAACTGAAAGGATTCTTTGTGGTTGTATTTTTGCCAACTGAACTGCCTCTCCTATTATTATTATTTCACTCTCATACACTAATTTCTGTTCATTGTTGTCCTTTTTCTTATACACATTTTACATTCTCTATCTCTTCACAGTCTCATTGTCATTGTGTGGTGCATATGTATTTGGTACCCCTCTGTACCAATATTTATGTTCACATACATAAACGATTGTAGGTGTTATGCGGACATCAACGAGAACGTGTTTTTCCACATATCCGATTTTCCTATTTTATTCAAATCCCTTCTTGAGTTTTTACATTGATTTTTCCCTGTTATTATAAAATATGTTTAGTCTAATTTGTCATGTATTAGTTGCTTGAACCCCCCCCCTTATGTTTAAGACTGCAAATGATTAGTCCCTTATCGGCATATGTGCATCCTTTATGGATTGCCTCGATATTGCCTGAAGTCACAAGTGTTATTTTGTTCAGTCAGAGTTGTACATTTTAACAATGTTATCTTTTCACTCTAACCAAAACGTTTTGACATTGTTTTCAATCTAATTAGAATGTCTCGAAAACTGCCCTTATAATGTTTAGTATAACATGCAAATAAAAATATCACCCTTGGTAAATCTGTATATTCTTCTTCAGAACCAATGTATTTTTGGCAATTTTCTGTGTAGTATAGTTTTTTTCTGCATATCAATTTATTCACAGTGGAAGAGTACCCTTTAAAACATAAAGGTTATTTTTACTGAGCAATAGTCACTAAGTTACTGAATCTTTAACCGCTATTCACTCGGCTTTTCTATAATTAGTCTTATTTTTAATAGTAGTAATAATAATAACAACAAAAATATTCACTAAGATTCACTTTGAGTATATCTTGATAATCATTAAGGAAAAAATAAACGAAATTGTATATTCAAAATAATGTAAACAATTAATAACAATTAGTTTTCATTGATTTATATAGGTGATGTTATTCAAGTATGTGGATGCTTGTCCGTTCGTAAAATGAATCAACTAAAATGTAATGTTTTGCACATTTTCCCACCATCAATTGATAATTATGGAGATGAATTCTGTGCTATTCATTGTATTCGTCCTATTGACAGTTCAGAAATGTTTTCATTTGAAAAACCTCCTGATATATTAGTGTTAGCTGATAAAATTGGTCGTTTGCATAATGGTATTGTTCTGCGAGCCAATATACCTGGACAGAATAAAAACAGTGAGTTTATTTTTAAAGATTTCGTTATGTTGGTGGACTGGCTGTGAAATTGTTGACTGTCTTAATATAATTTCACTTTGAATTTACATACAGTTAAACGTTTCATTATCACTTTTGAATTCAATACCTTTCTCTTAGTCACTAGACAGTAAAGTGAACATACTTTTTCGTGAGTATATCTTCAAGAATTGTTTTTGCTTGATTAAATTCAACTTCAATGATTTGTAAAGAAAAAGTCTATTGGTCCAGTTATAACTAATTCATTTGTGGATATAGTAGCCGAAATGAACCGTATTCATGAACTAAAAATCCTACTACTGAATTAGTCGAATACTTAGAACTACTTTTCATAGTTTTTATGTTGTTGTTGTGAACTGATGATAATGTACCTATAGCCCATAATTTCAATCTTTTAGCACATATCTTTGTGTAAATAACTGAAATTATTTACTATTGTAATTGAATAAAATAATTTAGAACTTAGCAAGCTACTGAATTGGTTCTGAACTCTAATTGCTAATGACTAAGCGAAAAATATCAGATATAAAAACCAGAAATTCACGGAAATCCAATTAAATAGAGGCAAAAGTTAATTAATGGTACATAATTACTGAATAAAATAGGCAATAAGTTCATTCATTGGATTAGTGGTAATTTTGAACTACATGATTTTAAGTTACATTAGTCAAAATGTCTTTATGGAATTTTTTCCTATTCGTAGTGACCAATTTTAGGTTTTTTATAGAATTTTCCTCGTGATCTTTATATTGTTAGGCATTTTATAAGATATGTGAGACTCATGACTTGGGTATACTTCTTACTATATTTGGACTCAAATCAAGGATGTAGATATATTTCAATTTATGGATTACTGTTTAGCCATTGAATCTAAATTAAGGTTACTACGTTTTTGTAACTTGGATTCATTAGTTGTAAAGGGAAATCACCACTTGATATGACTGTTAACTGTCTCTTCTTGTAACAAGTTATCAAGTACAGGTTTGCTTACCCTGGCTTTCAGCTGCATTGTTTGTACGAGGGCTAGCGTAACATTACTTGACTACTCGAACCGAATTACGTGAAACTGTGTTCTGACCTGTAATCTTTTGTCAGAAAACTGGATGCTTTAACTACTAATCCAGATTTCCTGATCGGTGAAACCATCAGTCAGTCAGTAACAACGTAGGCGGTGAAATCATAGTATTCTATGATCACTGACGTTACATAATAACAACCCAAAATCGGTCACCGTTCCATAATTGCATTCATTCGTTGTCTTGCTCTAAATATTTAGTCTTAATATTATTCCATACTTTTTCAATTCATATTCTCTATTGTTAGCGGAATATAGATTGGGTTAAAGCATGTTCCGTGCAAGATTGTGTTGGTGCATGTTGATTGGCTATTTCTTATCCAATCAGCGCTAACAGATACTTGTAGAAGACTCTAGAATCTTCTCATGTAGAAACTGTAAATATACTAACGCTTTTCTTATGGTGCTTCTTACTTCCATCTATCCTTGTTATTTGGGATATAATTCCGTTCCTCCTCAATTAGGTTCTGATTTAGGGACTTGTCAAGTAAATCTGGTGTCCAAGAATACTAAGCAATAGAAATAGCTGGGTCGTAATAAGAGAAATTATAACATCTACATATTTAGTTTTACTATTATTAGAAACTTTATTTTGTATCTTTTAATTGTCATCTTTGTTAATTTTCTCTCTCTGTGCTAATGTGATGTAAACAACAAGTACATAGATCGATACCTGGATGTTTTTCTAAACACGATTTGCATTAATTTACTTTTATATTGTGGAAATTTTCGAGAAATTTATTTCATAATCATTATTGTCACTTTAATATGTTTTCTCTAACTTACCAAATCTTCAATCTTTATTAGAACAAAAATAAAACATTCTTTTTTATTCTTTCAGAAAATCAAACTACAACCCCTCCAGTTTTACTCTGTCTCGTTGATATTGTGGATCTTGATCTAATGTCTAGTAATAGAACAACTGTGCAACAGTGTCATCCAAACGGTAGTATACTTCATTCTTCAAATTATTCTGATTACACTCATTTTGAATCTCCATCGTTGTCATTAGAACCAGCTAATCTAAATTTTTTGGACAATATTGAATATAATAGTTATTCAATAGATGGTTCAGATTTTGTTAAAAATAGAATTTTTGGCTTGAAATATTCACATCAAGGTTATTATGTAATTCATCATATGGGCATTCATCTTGTTAGTCTGTCATGGATTGAAAATCTTTCACTATGGTGTAGTGAATTTAACAGTCAACTGTTAAATGATTCTAATAAATCTCTTATTGAAGGTAATTATCACACATTGTTAAATGATTATTAAATATAATAATTTTTTATGATAAAGAAATATTAATTAATTCAACCTACAATATTTAACACTAGCCACCGCACCAACGTGTATTTCTACATGGTTTAAAACTATATTAGACTAATTAGCTGGGGACATGGAAGTAGTCGATGAAGTTATCAACTTTTGGTCTGCTTTTTTTCGATTCCAACATTCTTTTGAATATAACATTATGCTTACTTTCACTCTATAATGTTGTTAAAATCAGATATATCTGTCTGTTTTTATTTGAACTAATTTATTCATATGTCATACTTCAAAATGAACAAATACTTGTCTATGAAATCATAGATCGAGTATGTTTTACTAATTGAATGAATTTGAAAAAAAACATCAGTTAGTAAACTTTAAATTAACTACAGCACGCTGATCATAATACTGAGAGTTTACTTACCTTAGTTTCAAAAAATTTTATTATAGACTATCATTGAAGAAGACGAAAAAAGTTGTATAATGGTTTCCGGTGTTCATTGAAATTTTCAAATATTGTCGGTTTGCAGATGAAATAAACATCTAGTGATATAGTGTCACACAAACCCACAATCTGATTGAAATTCATTACTTACTGGTAGATCTTCATTTACTAGAAATTAAATATATCACTATATAGAGATGCCAAGTTTTTTCATGATTATGACTTGACCATAAAAAACGATCATTCTCTGATGGTTTATTTTCGTCGGAAATTTTTGAATTTTTTTATTTCAGAGATTCGGGATTGGCAGTCATGTGTGAAACACCTTGTCTGTGGCCAAATTACCATCTCTACCCCTGATGGGATGAATGAAGATATGGAGGGAAAGTTTAGACTAGCTGGCTTCATTGAACTATCATGTAATTTCCTGTCAAAAAGTCAACCGAAATCTAAAACTACAACCACTTTAGCTGATTGTCGATCAACTAAAGGTGTCACACTTTTGTTTATTCGTGCACCTATCCAACCAATTGATTCAACTGCCGGTATAACTGATTATTCATGTTTGGTACATTTCATCAGTCTAACACGGAAACCTGAAAGTTATGCTGTGAAACAACGTTATACTGGGTTAGATTCAAGGTTATTAAATTTATCTATCTTCATACTCATATGATAACTGCATTGAATATAAGTCTTGATAAAATATCTATGATAAGAATTTGTAGAGTTTTATAGCTGGTCAAACTTGTCTTTGCAATATGATTTATTTATTACTATAGTTTACAGCAAATGTAGTAATAGGCAACCGTTTGACAAGTCTAATGCTCGAACATTTGATATCGACTTCTAACTCCTTCCTAGTTTTCCATAAATCTCTAACATTTGATCAGGAAACAAAAAGCGGAAAAGTATGAGAAGTGGCTTCACTCCCAAGGTTATTTCAGGTACAAAAAACGAGAATATTTATAAGTTTATGTGTGATCGTGATATCCTGGGAGCTTCCGGACATAAACTAAAATTCGTAACAAAATCGGTAGTTATTCACTTAGGATATGAAATGTAATCTGTCACTTTTCAAGGACTGTCTCGGAAGTTTCTATTGAAATCTGATTCAGCAAAGCGTTCCCAACCTTTTCCTGGTTTCTGAATAAAGATCTACCCTCATCTCACTCAGAAATATATAAAAGTTGACTGAAACTGAACAAAATTGTTTTTCTTTGATTTTCTTTGCATAAGTACAGTAAATCCATTTTGTACAGTCTGATTTTTATTCATGTCGTAAATAATAAAGTTGAACATCGTTATTCGATTATTGCCTTGATTGAAGTACGATCGTGTATCTGGTAACTAACATCCGGAACTATTGACCCAACAATTACAGATTTTGCCTTAAAAATGAATAGATTAGATACTTTGGTATGATTCTGGTTTGTATAGTTAGCCTTCAGAAGGAAAATTAAAGATTCGTATATTTTAACGACTCTTGGTTAACTTGGATTTTCGGACAATAGAACACAGAGTAACGAAACACTTACATATAAATACAAATGATCATAAGATTCAAATGTCAATCTAAGTAGTCAAAAGGTGGTTGTACATCACGATGAAGTATCTTCAAAAAGCATTATTTAAAATCGGTTTGAATATTCATGCAATTATTAATAGAAACAGGTCTAGGTCAAAATATTAGCCCTACGCTGATACTAATCTTAGTATAGAAACTTATTCTTGTTTAATAACTTACATGTATGCCGCACTCCACTCTCACTCTCATAAGTACGTTGACTGAAAGATATTCTTCATCATTCTCTGGACTCTCATTTATCACGTACATTTTTATGTATTCGACTTTGGGTAGTCCCACTGTTCTTATGAGGACCATTGTTACTACCCAGTTGATAAGATTAAAGGTGTAGTGGCGTCTGATTGTACAATTTACTTTTTAAAAACCAAATGTTTTAACCATTAGGTCTCCGTTCCATTCTCTCAGGTACTATCGTGTATGTAACATTACTATGATGTGTACTTTTTTAAACTTGTTTTCATCGTTATGTGAAATAAGTTTAGTACATTATTAAAAACCAGGTAGCACTAGTGATTCGTCTTGTTTTTGTGTGGGACTTCTCTGCGCTGTCAGTCGACAGTCACTTCCCCTTAATCAAGTGCATAATTTAAGAGTTATTTTTATTCATTTTTTGAACTTATTTCATCCTCGTCATATGTGTGATGTACAATGTAAGTTGATAAATTCTTTTGCCTTTTTATATCTCAGAACTACTGATCATTATGATTCCTGTGATTCAACTCTCCGTTCACATTTCACATCTCAAATAAAACAAGTGTTATCGGGAGACAATTCACATTTTCCGATGATAACCGGTTTAAATTTACAACCCGATCTTACCCAGCAACAGTTGGTTCAATTTTTTATTAAGGTAATGTTTGAATCTTATAATTCAGTTCCTGAATATTAATTGTTACTGGTTGTAGTTGCACCGATATTGAAACTATAACTACTTACTCGTGAAATGTTTCTGAATTCATTTTGTCTGGTTGTTAGTTTCATATATAATGATCAAATCAGAACATCATGGTCTAGATCGGTGCTTACCACTTTTGTTCGAAGCCCACTCTGCCTACTTTGGCTTAAGAAACTGATTAGTATCGTTAGCCTTCACACCGCTGCACATACCTAATGCACAAATTGGTTATTATTCCGAACTCATTGTTTGATTGCAGGCCTTTAAAATTTCTAACTTCTCACTAGTCGAAATGGTTATCATAACTTTTAATGCAATCGTAAATATGCTATCATACTTCGAAACTTTGAATGACTGGAAATAAGTAACCTTATGTAGTTTGATTTGTTTTAGGTCTCTGATATACTGCGCAAAGGACCTCTAGATCGTCTAATGAAAGCTCGCTCAATGATTGAACATCACTCTAGACAGTTACAAGATATAATTTCAGCTCAACATTCCGAAGCAATGAAGCTAACATCTGAACGTCAAACTTTACAATCTAAAGCTGAGGACTTAGCAAAACGTCACTCTGTAATCGCCGAGCGTCAAAGTATGTTGGATAAACGTATGGCTAACTTAGCAACCCGTTTAGCCGGTAAGTAAATAGTTCTTTAACTTCCTGTTACATTCTTATAAATTTTAAAACAAAATGTAAGAATGTGTTGCTGAAGCTTACGCCTATTTAACACTATAAAAACTGAATGTAGCGATTACCAGGTATCCTGATCAAGTCAGTCAGTTTTAAGCAACATCGGATCTTCTATAAGTATGCATCAGTTCAAGTTGCTATATTTCACCAACACAGCAACGTTGACTCAACAAATCAAATAACGAGATTTGAAATATCATAAAATGCTAGATATCGAGGAACGTGTTTGTAATTAAAAAATGATGTGACGTTACGTAGTAGTGGGATACTATTAGGATTCATGGTCTGGTATCTGGACTAATGAGACCGATTTTCAACCTCGTCTCTTGAGGTCCCTAATTATGAACTGCAACTATCGTACTAGCTCCAACTAGATACTCGGAGCCTACCAATATAGCTCACACTAGGAGCCAGTGACTTTATGGCTTAATTCCACTCCGTCTGCAGTCTGCTCCTTCGTTAACCAGCATTGCTAATTGAAGTATTACCTTGTACGGTATTATGTGAAATTATAAGGTGACTGAAACATAGTAAGATCTTTGGGTTACAGGTTTTTCTAGCCAGTAAAATTTTTTTCAGTAATCGGGCTAACTGACCTATGCAGTCTATTGTTTTTTAGTTGGATCACAAATTGACCCGTGAAAAGTCACTCATCTCATTTGATTAAAGCTTAAAGTAGAGTAATGCGCAAGCGCTTTAGTATACGATATCTGCTCATGTAAAAACCCCACATCTACTATCATGGTTGTTTGGCTCGTCTGTAAAATTCCTATGAACTCCGAAAGAGTGGCTTACTACCTGATTTTCTGTTTAAATAAATGGAAGTTAATGAGTCGAAATGATAGTTCATTTAGATCAGCTTGTCCCATCTATTGCAACCTTTAATATATAGTGGTGAAATATCTTCAAAACTAAAACTTTTCCATTTCAGTTATTTTTAACATGTATTATCCTGTAAGTGTTCATTACTGATTTCCACTGATATAGTTATAATTACTTCTGTGTTTAGCTTTAGGCGAAGGTCCTACTAAAGCTGAAATCGCAATGCGTAGTGAAGTTATCGTAATTCGTGATCGTCTACACAAAGGCCTTAGACAATGGTTATCGACTCTCAAGAACCGTCGTGACAAATTGGAAAAACAAATACTGTTGCGCAAAAAAACAGATAAATCATCTATTCGTAACTCTCTTCCCAGCAGCCTTCTAAGAACCACCGAAAACATCGAAGGAAATCAGTGGCAAACAGTATCAGAAGAACTTCGCCGGGAAACTTTAGAAATCAAAATGTTAATTAACGCAGTTAAAACGCTTAACACAAAGACTATAAATCCCACCTAGTGTCTTATTTTATTTTCCCGTATATAAATAATTCCAGATAGAAATAATACTGAACCCGTTCATTTGGATTATTTTGTACACCTGTAAGTTAATTTTATAAGTAAATTATCCTATGAGTTATAAATACTCGACCATGTGACACTACTTTTATTTTTGAGTACTAAACTTTGTCGAGCAAAAATGATTGTTCAGTGTGTTTCACTCATATAATACGTGTGTATCAACTTTAGCACATAAAATTTTGGTTTATTGGGCTGTAAATTCCGGTGTGTAATGAGCTTTTAAGAAAAATGGTCCATACCTCAATGAAAACCTTTATGCCAAAAACGGCGATATGCCCAGCTGTTCTGGCAGATCACATGACACCAAGATTTCATTATAGGTCAAGTGCTAACAAGGGAAAAGTACGTTGAATGATTTAAATGCTTACTAATCGAAGGTTCTGACTAACTTCAAATGCTGAAATCAGTCTATCTACCTGTAAGCACATATAACCTGTGATAGTATTCAGTGCAGTACTATTACTCGTCCGAGAGACCATAGTTGTTGGGATATCTCATATTTCCAAGTTTCAAACTTGGAAACCATAAGTGGTAAATCGGGTCGGACTTGTTTATCTCCAACCTCTTAAATTTTTGCATGGGTTTGATGTGTTTATCAGTTGGAGCTATCAGTTTGTTCTCAGTGTTCTTTGCTTACTCAATTATTAGAGTTGGTAAAAATGTGGTGTATGTTACTTACGCTGAAAAATATAATTAGTATGCAACAACAATTGGAAGTGGAATGCTTGGCAGCAGAAGATTGAAATGAAGATATCAGGGAGGAAATCGGAGAACAATCGAAGTAACAACAGAATTAGAGGAATAGTGGAGCATGCGGAAAAAACCCAAAGAAGCAGTGCGAATGGTGTATTTAATGTATGGTTTTCATATTTTACCGAATCACTGTAATTTTGTATTAATCAATAAACTGGTTTTCCCCACCTGAGTTTACGTTCGCTACACTAGTAACTTGAGTAACAAGAGCGAAAATGGAGAACGAAACCAAAAATCCTAGAGCTATCGACAATCTAACTGGTTAGCCATTTAAATCGTTACAGAATCGGTTTAACACCAAGTCACTCGGAAGTGACTGGTTGTAGTGTTATTAAGTTCTCTTGACCTTGCTGTAAATGTCAAACATAATTCACCTCACAGAAACTCAGCTGCAGGAGCCATGAGTGTGAACGAATAATCATCTTTCTTTTAATCTTTGAGTTATCTTGTTAGAAGGGATTTTTGTACAAGTAGCATTCAGTTTCACGTTTCTTAGTCATATTTATGGATTTTTTCGTGATTAATTCATTTTAAGTCAAAAGAGTGAAAAGACAGTAATAGATCTAAACCTAAGGAGTACAGGTCCCTTTCGTGTGTTCAACTACTCAAACTTACTGTATGATGATGTGGATTCTAGAGTGCTTGTATGAGAGGAGCAAAAGCCATAAGAATTTCCGGCGCGACTAAAATTTATGGACGAATCAATCAGGTATAAGATAACAGGTCTTGAAATTTGGTGCGGAATTCATCCAACTATTTGGCTTAATAGCGTCTTGGTATTTTAGGGGCGAGACTCCAATTTATGGACGATCTTTGAACGAATCTTTAAGTGACCTTGAGAAATATTAGCCAATCAACAAACAGTCAGTATAGAGTAAAAATATGTTATGCAAAACCAAGGAAATAAAGTGGATACACTCCTTGTACGTGGTAATGCATGCAGTGGAGGAAATCATCCATACAGCTACAGAATAGTCGGCCTCCGGTTGTTGAGTGCACGCTCTCTAAACATCTGTATAAATTGTAGTACCTGGCTGCAGCCAGTGTTACTGGTGCTTTTATTATCCAGTTCGCAATAATTGTCGTAATTTGCCTTAGTTAGGAATTATATATGGGGTTTACATCACAAAGTGACATCAGCTATAATGCCAGAAATTTATTTAGCCAAATGGATGGAAGGCTTTCGCGCCAAAATCCGAGATCTATTATGTTATACCTAATTGATCCGTCCACAAATTATAGTCTCGCCATTTTATTTATTATAACCGCTCAATTATCACGTTTTGTACAAAATTCCCTGTGAACCGATCGTATGTTAGCATTAAGCACTGAAGTTGGTGCCGTAAACCTAATTGGCTCGTCCATAAATTAGTCTCGCCATTTTAGGTATTGAAGCACACTGCTCACGTCGTATACTTCCTCCTTTAGTCCCTAGTTTGTCTCTGCTCGTTTTCAGAAGAAAAAGATTGGGAATCTGCTCAGTCGGTCGCAAGAATAGTCAGATTTAATTCGGGCCAGGATCTCTTCTGGAACGATAACCACTCGCATACTCTTTACTAATTCGATTTTCCGCATGACCTTTGTCCTCCGATTGGTCCCCATGTTTTTTTAGTTTGCTGGATTGCTACATGCTCGAAGGTCATGTTCTGCCACTACAGTAACAACTTTGGTACGAATTTCTCTTGAGTTGCTTGTTATACTACAATTATTAGGTTACCCTTAATCCCATCTTCTTTCTGTCTTAGCCGTCGAGGTTTGATGTGTTGAGCATAATTAATTGTTGTTAATTTAGAAGAAAACGGGTCATATTAGAAAAGTCCAATCGTTTTGTTCCTACATCCGCAACGTAGTAGGCTGTACTGAACCCCAATATCCTTCTGTAACCAAGAACGATCTCCTACTGTCTAGGCGTAAAACTCTAGGTCATCCGTACGTGTTTTACGTGTCACTGGATCGATCGATAAAACGCTGCTCCATTCATCCATAATCTGCAATCCACACGTTACAACAGTAATTCTAATGAGGTTTCTTTTATATCTCTTGAAAAATGAATATGAAATTTTAATTACTATTTGATATAAAATACAAAGATTGATTTGATATTACCTCATTGAAGATTCGACTGTCTTAATCATTACATTATCTATGTGAATAATAATACAGATACATTTTGTGAGCGAATATCTTAACGATAAAGTTCTTTGATCTTTTGTTCTTATGAAAATATTTTGTAATTGAAACGTTAAGCAGTAAATTTTTAAATATCGTTTGAAATTTATTATAATAAAAAAGAAAATGAAATAATTAATCTTAGTAGGAGATATATATCTTGATTGTTGAAAAGTTACGGGACTTTAGGATTCCAAATTAACACTTGTCTCGTAATGCAATTTGATGATTTCCGTAATGTATATCCTAACCATCTTCAGCATCTTCTCATTTTCATATGAACGTTGATTCGTTCTCTTTCACGTTAGGTTGCTGCTGACAGTATCCGGCCAACGGACATTCAGCATCTTATGTACACAATTGTTTATAAATACTTGTACCATTTTGATAATGGCTGTGTTAGTTCTACAATTTTTAGTAAAACTGTTTTGGCGTTCGTATTAAAGATTCTGAGTTTGATGTTGACTGACAGTTGTCTTAACTTCCATATGTTCTTCAATTCAAGGAATGCTGTTATTGCTTTACCAATCCTCGCCTTTACGTCTGCATTAAAACCTCCTTGTTCATCGATGATGTTACCAGGTACGTGAAGGATTCCACATCTTCCATAGCCTCTCTATCAAGTGTGATTGGGTTGATGTTCTCCGTGTTGTATTTGAGGATCTAGCTTTCTTCATTTTGTATGTTGAGGCCTACTGATGAAGAGGCTGCTGCTATACTAGTTGTCTTTATCTGCAATTGTTGCTGTGTATGGATTAAGAGGGCTAGGTCATCTGCGAAATCTGTTCATTGAATTCCTCAGTCAATTAGAGCACAAAATAGTTTGTTGTTGCCAGTAAATGTAGTCTCTGACTTCGATAATTTTGTCATCTACGGAATCCTCGACCATATTACTATTTATCATTTTTTGTCACTGGTTGAAATATTGGTCACGTTTCAAAATGTCTTTTGATTTGCTGAGTCACATGGTTGTAAACTTTCTTCCTTTTGCTTGTGATACCTTTATTTAAGGTTCAAAAGTTTTCTATTTGATCCTAATATACACAATCATTTATATCAACCAACATAGGACAATATATTCTAAGATACTGTAGACATTGTCTTGAGTTACAAGTTTTCGGTGTCACAAATACTACTGTCAAAAATAAAGTATTCACTTTAATGTAATAAACAACACAACTCGAGTCCCATTAACATTGCTAGAAATGTAGAGATTGTACATTCTAGTTCGGTTGTTCTTCATTTTCTTTTCAAGTGACTCAATAAAACTCACAGTACTTTTTGTAAAAATACTGTGTTTTGGTATTCATTCACAGGATACATTTTTTCATTTCTAAGTAAAGTTATACAATCTTATATCAATTTATGATATAAAAAAGTTGATACTTTGTAAAAACAATCTGTATACTATGTGTAAATGATCAAACAACATAAATAGAAAGAAACCTTTAAAGTTAATAGAATAATACCGGATAATTAAATCACTAAGCCATAAAATCTACAACATATTTCTATCAAACAACGAAACAATCAATCCATATTTCTTTTCTTTTTCAAACTTATTTAGTTTAAAGGATTCAAAGTTAAGCTACTTTCATTTAATTCCAAAAAATTGAATGATTTATATATTACTGATATTTCGTTTCCTATTTTGGTTAGATCGCTTAGTAGAAAGAAAAATGAAAAAAAAGAAAGAAAACAACAACAAATAAAAAGGAAACATTTTTCTCTAGAATAAGACAATGACACTTACCATTGGTTCATTTTAATATAAAAAATAGAAATGAAAGTCAACATACAATAAATTTACATGGATTCACACATTAGAAAAAAAAAGGAATTTTATAATCGTAAAAGTGTAGACAAGTGATTTTTCAACAAAGAAAAACTAGAAAAAATGTGGTTAACTATGTAAAGTTAATTTAGTGAATTGAATCTAATAAATTCAGTATAATATAATGATATGAAATCTGTGGTATGAATATTATGTCTATCTTACTTAAATTGTATATCAAATTCTAAACTAGAAAAGTGGAAACTCAATATTTACAATTAACATAGATGGGATGTTGATATAAAATAGATTGAAAGTTAACAACTGTTTTATGTTTAGGCACAAAAATTCGACTAAATTGATCTTTTCATGAATTTATTTGAGTCTGAGGTATTATACTGAATCCTGACATTTATGATTGAGGTCATGAACTGATGGATGTTAGACCACTGGACATCCGTTTCGTTCTATTGTGGGACTACTTAGCAGTGTACATCCACAATCCCTCTCGCGGGATTTGGACCCAAAGCC